TAGTATGCAAATATAAGGGCAAGAGGTGGCATAGGCATTGGATAATGAGGACAGAGCAACAACATATTGAGGATCATGGTGCAAAAGACAGAAGGAACAAAAAGACAGAAGGAACGTAGTGTTCTAACACCATGGGGACACTATCTGCCAATGGATAGCTTATGTTTGGATTAGCACATGAGATAAATTAATTTTTAAGTTACTTAACCCACTATTATTTTGGGTGTTTCTCCGACTTTAACTAATACAAAGGTATGAGAATCAACATTATCATGGTATTAATGGAAATGAAAATAAAGACATATTTAAAGGGTGATATGAAAAACTGCATTTATATCACCAAAGTGAATTGCCTTACAATCCCTTTCACTTCCTGAAAGGACCCTTACTGTAGTATCTATATTTTCTTTTCCCCCATGACCTCCCACTTACTAAGTTTGCTAGTTCCTTTCTCTAAACAAGGGTATGCACTTTGCCTTTGCATGCACTCTGCTCTGGCACCAAACTGTCCCTACTCCTAATTTTCCAAGCACACTTCTAAGGCTGGATTCCCTTCAATGTGTACTTTCCCTCTTCCTGCTTGCAGTCTCTTCCTATTCCACACCATCCTGCACACTGTCACTACATTTATAGACCCCATCCACCGCACCACGATCCCTCATTAAAAGCCACCAATGGCAGCCTATTGGTGTAATACCTATGCTCCCACTTTCTACATCCCAACCTTGTAATGCAGATGGCAGAAAATGTAAGGTGATCACAGCACTCTTTCTGGAAGAGCAACCAGAAAAAAATCCTTCCCAACAGAATGTTTCAGTAACTAGTACTGACCAGTATGAACTAACATTTGGGAAGGACCTATTTAGATTCTGTTATAAAAGATCCCTGATGTAAAAGATATAAAACTCTGATATAAAAAAATCAAGTCTAAACTGCTTGGTTTGTATTTCAGAACACCAGAATGACCCCTCTTACTCTCTCAAACTGTTATCTATCTCTCTATACATTATCTCCTATGAACCTACAGGGAAAAAATGTGAAAAGGCTTTGAAATGGAACAGAAACTTACTGGGTATCTTCAGTGAAGACCTAGTTTTTGCCTAGCACACCTGTCTGGGTTTTCTGATTCTGTGGGATCTCTGTGCTCTCACCATCTTTGAGTTATTTATAACTCTATGAGTTGCAGATAACTGATAACAATACAAATAATTTTTGTTCACAGACAATAAATTTTGTCTGGTAGGGTACTATTGATTTTCCTTCCTCATTGTAGAAGAAGTCAATTTTGCCTTTATTTAAAACACATTTCAGCACTCTGTAGTGCCTATATATGTGTGGTTGTTTAAACGCTCCTTTAAGTCATTTGTAACTTCTTGTTCATTCCCTCATTAATTAATGAGTTAAATAAACACATTTGTTACAAGTTAATTTTATATGTGTATGGGAGTCATGACTTTACCTTAAAAAATCCTTTTAACAAACCCTTTTTTTTATTACTGCCTTAGACTTTGACTACATCTCCAATATGAAAGGTCTTCTCTGGCTCTTTCTACCTGACTACTGATTCTTCATATTTCAGAAATAAATTTAAGCTCCTTATCATGTCCTCAAACTGCAAAATCTATCATTTTCACAATGAACCCAGATCACAATGATGCCTCAGTTTTCTTTACAATTATCTTTTCTTCAAAAATACCTTCTGAAAATGCATTATCTTTTTCATCATGGACCGTATTTTTTTTGTTATCTTTCATCATTAATTCATTTAAATGAATGTGTCTTCTTTACCTAATTAGAGTACAAATTCCTTGAAGGCACTGATCACAATTTACTTTCCTTTTTTCTTCCTTGGCATCAACACACTGCCTCATATTGAGCCCAATACATTTCCACTGCTGAGTCCCATCCTTGGCCCATGAGCTGGGGCTCTCAATCAAGGTTTTTTTTTTTTTTCCCATATAATCACTTAGCTTTATTTAGGGAATCAACCCATTCTATTTTGGCTGAAGGTGGTTCCATCCCAGTAAAATTTACATTAAAATTTAGTGAAGATGGTTAGAGCTTCTGTGAAACACCAAATATAATATAGCATTGACCAGGAATTCTAGGAAATAAAGAATATATTGCCATGCTTCTGGGGAATTTCTCACAACTATTGGACCAATGCTGTTTATTCCTTAGTACAGTCTTATGTGAGGTTGAGATACTTGCAGTTTGACAGTCATTCTTTCATTCTACAAATGTTTATTGATTGTCTACTATACATCAAACATTTTTGACAGACCCTGGCAATGCATTTGCAAATAAAATGCAGTTTCTAATCCAAGGAGCTTACCTGCTATTAAAGAGAGGGAAAAGTTGAGGAAGACAGGGAAAAATGGGCATGGGACTGTGACCTAAGCAGATAGATGCTTAGGTGGCAAGCTAAATCAAGTTTCTTATTATGATGAAAAGGTGATCTTCTTTGCAGGTATTGTAACTATTGGACTGCTAAAATCAATCTACTGTAAATACTCCTAATGGAATGGTGAAATTTCAAACATTTGCAGATTGATAACACCATGATACATGCCCTACATGCAACACCTTCAGTACTGTTAATAACAACTCAACCAAATAAGGACCAACAACATTTTTCTAAGTTTTAAGCCCTGACTTGGGAGAGAATAATAAATGATCTTGAGATAGCTTTCAGCATATTTGATTTTATGAACTATAAAGTATTTTATCAGTTGAATAGTCTAAACATTAAAATCTGTCCCTTAAAATGTCATATGAAATCAAAGGACTTCATAATATTTGATCATTAACATTATTACTAAGCATTTTAATTTTTATGGTTTTATTTATAATTATTTCAAATTGAAACTATCAAAAAACTACTGCTCTTTAAAACCTAGTCCATTTAATCAATTTTATTTTTCCCATGATGACTTTTTATTTTTAACTTTATTCTTATGGGAACTTTTAGGATAGGACATTTATGATTCTATTCCTATGTACTTTGTTAGTGAAGAGGTTAGATAAAAAATATTAATAAATACAAATAGTCATTGTTGCTGATACAATTTTCAGTTTTGCATGGTATATAGGTAGAATTCAAATGATGAAATAAGAAGTAACAAGCAATCACATAATGGTAACAATAACATTTGTTTGGTCCTAAATATTTTCACATGTATTGTCTCTCTTAATTCTTAAAGCAACCTGATAAAATAATTTTAATCACAACCATTTTACAGATGAAGAAAACAAGAAAGAAGTCATCTGCTAGATGTTGCATAAGCGGCATTTTGTACACCAAATCCAGGTCTTCAAACTCAACAATTATGTTTTTGTTCAGATTTTTTAAAAAAGCATTTAATTCGCAGGCCAAATTCTGTTGGCAAGTCACTTTCTAAGGGTAAGTAAAATATATGTAGAAGAACACTAAATATTTTATTCACCAAGAATGTCATCATACTGAAACTGAGAATAGTGTACTTTCTAAATGGCCCAGTTAAATCTCAGGAAGAAGTTATTTATCCATAGGGTCTGGACACCGTCAATCAAAATCACTTGCTTGCATATTACTGAAATGTGGTCCATAACCATCTTTCCTCTCTTCATACTGACAAATAAACATTTCATTTTTTATTAACCTTATTATCTAAAGAATTTTTTCCTGCTTGTTAAAAATATAAAAAGAAAAAAAATCACCACTAAGATACTTCTAATATTTTATGTATTTTCTTAGTCTTTTTAAATGTAAAATACGCACATTTAATATTTTTATCACTCTTTATATATCTTTATATATCACTTTTTCATATATTAGCATGGTAATATTTACTTTTTTGAAAACCTGACATTTTATGGCTGCATAGTATTTCATCAAATACTTGAAAAACAGAAAGGAATAAAACTACAATCTATAATTCTTGTGTAACTAATCACTGTTGTGAGTTTTGCTTACTCTCTTCCATTCTTTTTTTATATGCCTTCATGTCATCATTAAAGTATACACAATTTTATATCTTGAAATTTTTTTCATTTAATATTATGAGCCTTTGCATAACCACTGTGGCATGTTGGGTGAAAATTCCATACACTACAGAACCATAATTTTATCGACAATAAGTTGGTTTCCCTTTACTTTTTTTTTTTTTTTTTTTTTTTTGAGACAGAGTCTTGCACTGTTGCACTGGAGTGCAGTGGTGTGATCTTGGCTCACTGCAATCTCCGCCTCCCGGGTTCAAGCAATTCTCCTGCTTCAGCCTCCCGAGTAGCTGAGATTACAGGTGCTCACCACCATGTCCAGCTAATTTTTGTACTTTTAGTAGAGACGGGGTTTCATCACGTTGGCCAGGCTGGTCTCGAACTCCTGACCTCAAGTGATCCGCCTGCCTCAGTCTCCCAAAGTGCTGGGATTATGGGCGTGAGCCACTGCTCCCGGCCAAAAATAATTTTTCAATGAATATTGTACGCATGTAGTCTTTACATCTATGAGCTTGAAAAGTTATTTCTTAATAGTACATTCCTACAAGTAAGATTATTCAGAAAAAGCTGGCATGCTTTCATTGTTCTTTTTGTGACATTGGTGGGTGAAAATAATGTTTATAAAAACCAAGAATGTTAAAATCTTAGACATGAAAGAATAAATAGCAACCTGATCTCAGTTTCTTATCAACCAATCCTTTTAGTGATTGTGAAATACAGTAAAAAATACACCAAGTATTGACTATATTTGATATATTTTTCATAAATTAGTACATCTTGACATGAAGAAGTACTGAGAGATGTGACCACTTAAGTATGCTCACATTTTTATTTAATTTTTTTCATTTTAAAGTCTATATCCACATACCTTTTAGATACAGTTTAGTTTGTTTTCCCCTTTGACATCTTAGATGTAGTTCTAGAAATGATTTCTGAAACTGCTTCCTTTGGTGTGCTCTGAAATCCACAACAGGAGACAGCAGTAATTCTGATACAAGGAGAAAGAAAATGCCCCAACTTACCGTTTCTAATGCAATTACACGGTCCTGCAAAGAAAGCATAATATATAATTATAAAACGAAGGCTGTTAAAAATTGTTTCAAGTTTACTTAATTTACAGGTATTCTATTTACCGTCTATTATTAATAATTTTTTTAAAAATGTAAAAAATGAGAACTACTCAGAATGATCTCTATAAGAGAAAAACAGTCATCAAAGAATGACTGTACCTTTTTTCATCTCATTTAGTGTTAGGACTATAGGGTTTAAGAGTAAATACTACAATTCAATGAAAGGAATAGATCTTACCACTTTTGCAATGGTAAGATTATTTACAAGGATATAAAATGTTAGATTTGATTATATGAATCACAACTAGACAAGAGTAATGATATAGACAAGGAATTAAGCACATATTTTAGCTCTTAATTAGGTATACAGTGAAAAAGGTGGTCTCCACAACAAGGTGAAATTCAGACATATCTTCATCAATTAAAATAAATGAGTAAATCATTATTGAAAACAAGGCAGGAAAATAAATCAGAAAGATATGGCATATGCAGCCAATCCTGAGCCCAGATAGGCCTTCATTGTCTACAGCATCTTAGAATGTTTATATGATTGGCTTTAAAAGGGGTCATTGATAACAGTGCATCAAAAGTTAAATGATTAAGAAAATGTTTGTATTCTCAAGTCCATAGTTGTATTCTCAAGTCTTTCCAGAGGTGACATCTATAAACAGGAAGTCTTTACCAAATAAAGACTGAATCTGAGACAAAGCAGAGTGTGAAGATTTAACAAAATGAAAAATCATCCCTTTTAAGGAGGACCGAGGCCATTTGTCTTTGTTTTCTCTCATTTTAAGAACTGGAGGAGGACGGGTGCAATGACTCACGCCTGTAATTTCAGCACTTTGGGAGGCTCAGGTGGACAGATCACAGGAGGCCAGGAGTTCAAGACCAGCCTGGAAAACCTGGTGAAACACCGTCTCTACTAAAAATTTAAAAAATAGCCAGGTGTGGTGCTGCGTGCCTGTAATCCCAGCTACTCGGGAGGCTGCAACAGGAGAATTGCCTGAACCCAGGAGTTGGAGGTTCCAGTGAACCGAGATCATGCCACTGCACTCCAGCCTGGGCAACAAAGCAAGACTACAGCTCAAAAAAATAAAAATAAAATAAAAGAACTAGAGGAAATATGTGGAATCTGGATTTTTAAAAATAATCATCTAAAGAAGCGTAATGGTTAACACTGAGTGTCAACTTGACTGGATACAAGGATGCAGGGTGTTGATCCTGGGTGTGTCTGTAGGGTGTTACCAAAGGAGATTAGCATTTGAGTCAGTGGGCTGAGGAAGGCAGACCCACCGTTAATCTGGTGGGCACAATCTAATCAGCTGCTGGTGAATATAAAGCAGGCAGAGAAATGTGAAAGGGGAGACTGGCCTAGCCTCCCAGCCTACATCTTTCTCCTGTGCTGGATGCTTCCTGCCATCGAACACTGGACTCTAAGTTCTTCAGTTATGGGGCTTGGACTGGCTCTCCTTGCTCCTCAGCTTGCAGACAGCCTATTGTGGGACCTTGTGATCGTGTAACTTAATACTTAATAACTACCATTTATATATATATATATATATGTATGTGTGTATATATATGTATATACGTGTGTGTGTATATATATGTATATATGTGTGTGTGTGTGTATATATATATCTCCTACTAATTCTGTCCCTCTAAGAGAACGTTGACTAATACAAGAAGTAAAGAGAGAAAAATGGTGCACAGAATGACTCAGCCCAGGTCTCTTGCTGTCCTGCAGGGACCCCCATAGACCTATGACACTTAGAAGCAGAATGAACTCGGCCCCTACTGGCATTCTCTCAGTATCACATGAAATAGAGGGCTCACTTCTAAAGAGTTCTGCGAACTAACTTCCAGCAATCAGACTGGGAAACAGTTGAACATTTCCACCCTGTAAACACTTGGCTATGTGGACATGAATTAAATGAATACATTATGCAAAATTAGCCCAAAGCAGACTGTTTCTAGCAATATAATCTGTTTAATTGCATTTTGTTGGCATACTTAAGAGGGCCTCACCGTTACCCTCATAATTTTCATAAAATAACTGCTATTTTGTTGGTGACTTGTATATTGTCACATTTGAGCACTTCATAACACATGCGTATGATGCCTCAAGGGGGTTTTGATCTATTGTTGCCAGGCATCTTATTCATTGTGCATCTGGGACAAAAACCATTCAGCAATACTTTAACATCCTTTGCAGATTGAACAGAACCTCATTAGATGCCTTATACAGAGAGAAACAGCCTTTGGGCAGTATCATATTTATATGAACCATCTTGGAAGGCTGAAAATATTTACAGCCCTATTTGGGCCTTAAGTTTTCCTTATACCATGGGTTTGTGGGTTGTTATTAGTTAAGATTAATGCATTTTAAAAGCATACCTAGAGCTGCTTTTAATATTTTAAATTTTCATATAATGTCAAAACAGAACAGAATTAAACTGTCTGTCCTAATTCATATCTTAGTGTTTAGCAAAAACAAACTGATAGCGTTGTAAGTTGTGTATGAGTCCCTTCATTTTACTTAATTTTTTATTTTAAAGGAAATATGTGCCTAGTTTTTGTGACTATGGACTCAAATGGTCAAGGCAACTCCATTTTGTTGAAATATGAAGGTCAAATATATATATCTACACATATATACACACACACACACACACACACATATATATATATATATATATATATATATATACACACACATACACTTTTTTTTCTTTTTTTGAGATGGAGTCTCACTCTGTCACCCAGCCTGGGGTGCAGTGGCGTGATCTTGGCTCACTGCAAGCTCCACCTCCCGGGTTCACTCCATTCTCCTGCCTCAGCCTCCCGAGTAGCTGGCACTATAGGTGCCTGCCACAACGCCTGGCTAATTTTTTTTTTATTTTTAGGAGAGACGGGGTTTCACCATGTTAGCCAGGATGGTCTCGATCTCCCGACTTCGTGATCCGCCCACCTTGTCCTCCCAAAGTGCAATAAATAAATTTATTTGAATCCACTTTAGTTATGTTTGTTTGCCTATAACCTACTCTATTCCAAAATGGTACTGAGATAGCTTTCAATAAAAAAATCGTATGCCAAAAAACACGAGGAAATTAGAGAAATAGAAAATTTAGTTCATTAACCTGACTTTCAATAATTCAATATGCCAGTCAACAACAGCTAATAAGATACCAGCCATTGTAGTAAATTACTGATTTTGTCTAAATTACAGTTTTCAGTCTCAATTGTAGGCTGTAAATAAAGAGAAATTATTGCTAGTCTTTATGAACTTCTTATTTGATTTTAAAATTTAAAAAATGCATTTTGAAAACTTAAGTGGTTATGGTTGACACTGTTTTAAATAAAAAATTATGCTACTGTGTATCATTACTCTCAACGGAAAATAAGCCTACAACAGTGTTCTTTTTTTTTTTTTTTTTTTTTTTTTTTTTGGAGATAGGGTCTCCCTCTGTCATTCAGGCTAGAGTGCAGTGTCACAGTCAGAGCTCACTGCAGCCTCTATCTTCCAAGTGCAAGTGATCCTCCCACCTCAGCCTACCAAGTAGCTGGGAGTATAGGTGTGCACCACCACACCCAGCTAATTTATTTTTTACTTTTTGTAGAGATGGGATCTCACTATGTTGCCCAGGGTGGTCTTGTACTCCTGGGCTCAAGCAATCCTCCTGCCTCGGCCTCCCCAAATGCTGGGATTACAGGCATGAACCACCATACCCAGGCCATTATTGTAGCTTTGATATGCTTCATGATTAAAAAAGAAAAAGCCAGTATATGTCCTAGAATGAACATATAATTACAACAAAATAAATTATATCTCCATAACCTCTCCCATTTTACCCAGAGCTGCCTTTGTAATTTTTTCCCCTTTTTCTTTAATCTACAATTTTCATTTAAACAGATTTAAGTTCAACCTGTAGGTTCATTACTCCACCCACACTTCCAAACCACCAATCCCTGAACCCCACTCTCAACATGCTCCCAAGACTTAATCCTGAAAAGAAAAGCATTGCTAGAACAATGAAAGGGCATTAGGAGGTAGGAGAAGTAGAGAGGGAAGACCACCTCCAGGAAATAATGAAGATACTTCCATGCTATTTCAGATGGTTTTAATAAATCAGTGGCTCTTATTTTTGTAGTAATAGACTTTGAGAGTCTAATAAAACTTGACATTCTCCCTAGGAAAATGTACATTATATACAACACACATATATAATTTTATATATATTTTTTGGGGTAATGCAGACTCTTTGAAGCCTACCCATAAGCCTCCAAGTCTTTTTTTTTTTCTTTTTTTGAGATGGAGTCTCACTCTGTCGCCCAGGCTGGAGTGCAGTGGCACAATCCCGGCTCACTGCAACCTCTGCCTCCTGGATTTAAGTGATTCTCCTGCCTCAGTTCCCAAGTAGCTGGGACTACAGGTGCGTGCCACCACATCCAGCTAATTTTTTTGTATTTTTAGTAGAGACAGGGTTTCACTGTGTTAGCTAAGATAGTCTTGATCTCCTGTCCTCATGATCCACCCGCCTCGGCCTCCCAAAGTGCTGGGATTACAGACGTGAGTCACCGCTCCCAGCCCAAGTCTTTTTATTCCAAATAAAAACACCTAAAATAAGACATAAGAATATTATAAAAATAAATTATTATATTACACTAAATGTATTTATTTATTCTTTATGAAACATGACTAGATAAATAACCTCAATAACAAAGAAATAAACAATTATGACTATAACTAAGGGCTCTTATAGGGCAGAAGTAAAAATGTAAAATTCTAAGTAGGAGTGAAGTGTTAAACAAAAAACAAAGGAAAAATTTTCTTCAAATACTTGGAAGAAAAGAGCTTTCTGGGAAAAAGCCTGTTTTGCTGCTACTGTTTACATGTGATTGGATAGTCCCTTTTCTATTATTCTTTAGTTCTAAGAAAGGGAAAGTTCACGAAACACCTAAATCGACACAAATATTTTTAAAAATGTTTACTCTTAATGACTGTACATGTAGTCAGGGCATAGACATTGAATGACAATGGAGGGGCGCTAATAGCTGTTCTTACCAATAAGTGAATATTACACTTTCTAAGTAAAAATAATGTGGCTACACATCATGTTTTAATTTGTTCTGGGATTGACAGATCAGGTGAGGAGAAGCCATATGATATAGGTGTCCCTCAATATACAAATTATTTTGGGGGAAGCCTATAGCATGTATACTATAAAAAGATGTATTTTAACTTTTGAGGTTAATGAGGTTTTGAAACTACCTTTGCAAAATTATAACTGAGGAAATTATGACAGTGACAGAAATTAAACCTAACTGACTCTATCTTGCTTCTTTCTAACCCTTAAGCTGTCCGTGTTCATTCCTGGGTGTTGGCTGAACTAACTTTGGGAAGGAATTCAGTTCATGGTTTGACTCTGAAACAAAATTGATAACCGCCCTTTACCGAAAAGACTTTCTTCTTGCCTGGGGTCCACTCTGCCTTTGCAGGACTAACAAATTAGCTACAAGATTAGAAATTTAGGACAGGCACGGTGGCTCACATCTGTAATTCCAGCACTTTGGGAGGCTGAGGTAGGCGGATCACCAGAGTTCAGGAGTTTGAGACCAGCCTGGCTAACATGGCTAAACCCTGTCCCTACTAAAACTACGCAAATTAGTCAGGCATAGTGGCAAGCACCTGTAATCCCAGCTACTCGGGAGGCTGGGGCAGGAGAACTGCTTGAACCCAGGAGGTGGAGGTTGCAGTAAGCCGAGATCACACCATTGCACTCCAGCCTGGGCAACAGGAGCAGAACAGTGTCTCAAAAAAAAAAAAAAAAAAGAGAAATTACAATTTAGGGGTCATGCAGCCTCTGGCTTCCAGAGTCTGAACCTCCCCAAATTGCTCCTGTGGATAACATCATTATTGCATAAACCTAAGATCAGTGCTTGAGATAGTTTACAGACCCTGCACTGGATGGATCGGCTGACACCACCCACACCAGTAATCTGGCCCAACCAGTTCTGCCCTCCCACCCAAAAACAGAAGACATTAAGATAACCAAACTTAACCCCCTATGATTCCATCACCAGTCTGACCAATCAGCACTTCCCACTTCCCAAGTTTTTAAGGGTAATTTGGTGAGCCCCTACTCGCCAAATTATCTTTAAAAACTCTGATCCCCGAATGCCTGAGGAGACTGATTTGAGTAATAAAACTCCAGTCTCTTGCACAGCCGGCTCTGCGTGAATTACTCTTTCACCATTGCAATTCCCCTGTCTTGATGAATAGGCTCTATCTAAGCACCTGGCAAGGTGAACCCATTGGGTGGATACAGTTTGTAACTAGCCTTAAGCTGTATATATTCATTTACTACCACAGTGAAGTGTACTTTAGAATTTAGGAATGGACCAAAGCAAATTCATTAGTATCACTGGAGATGAGCAAATATTTGTAGGCTGTTAGGAAATGAGCATTAAATGGATCATTTGTTATCAGAATATCTAATCATTAAAAGTTGATTTGATTCAGCTGAGCTAATCAGCCATATCGATTCATCCATCACATCTCAGAGATGAATTAGAAGCTCATAGGTCTAAATAATAAGAATTCTTCTGCTTCTGGTGAGTACAGTTGAAAGGTGTAGTGACTTTATTTTATCATAATCAGCATTTTCCAAGAATGCTTTAAATACATCATTAGCATATGAAAAAGCATAACACTGGCATAAAAACCTAACAAGAGTCTTCTACTTTTTCCAGGTCTTAGAACAACTTCTCTGGGACTTAGGGACCATGATGGACATACCCACATTGAGGACTCCCTACCATCACTATCGTAAAATACAAAGCCTGTCTTCTGGAAGAAAAAGCCACGCAGCTTCGCCCAAAGAGACCACTGCATGGCGTTCTTCCTTCCAATGTCAACTCTGTTTAATCCACACCCACACTTTACCTGCTACTTCCTAAATAAATCCTATAGAATGAAACACAAATATGTATATATTTTCTCCTCAGCATTTCCCCATGACAATCCACTACATTTAAAAAATTTGTCAGTCATTCTTAAATAATTAAAAGAGCTAGAAATCATTTTATTTGAAATTATTTGAATACATTTAAAATAGTATTCTTTGCCAAACTTTAAGATAATGAAAAGAAAAGGAAAAGGCTTTGATTAATCATCACACACAAAAGCTCAGCATTTTATATAGTGATTTAAAATTAAAACAAAACAGAGATAAAAATCACTATCTCAATGTAGCAACATCAAAAAAGCTTTAAAATATAGCATAAGTTGGCTTTGAATATACCAAATGCATCTGTGATTTATATATAAAATTGCATGCTATCCATTACAAGTCAGTGAAAGAAGTTAGTCTATACATCAAATACTTCAGGATAGGTGGCATTGGAGCAGCTTGCACTGGTTTCCCAATCATCCTGTGTTCACTGTAACCATCATTAGATACCTGTAGTCAATTTCTGTTAATTCATTTCACTGGCTGCTTATGTGCCTTTTCAAACAACCTACTCAGCGTCTAAAATAACACAACACACATACTGAAGAAAAAACAAAACAAAACAGCAAGGCTTAAAGATTTTGTCTGAAAAGTTATCAAGAAAAAAAAAAAAACAACAAAAAACCCAACGTTTTGACTTAGGAAGAAAAGCCAATTTAAAGTGATATGTCATGTTCTAGCCTACAGGGAGGCCCAGTAATGGTTCTTGTTGCCTGATTTTCAACTTGGGTGTGGCAAATCTCTGATAGAACTAGAAGCAGAAACAATCACAGGATTTAAAAACAGACTCAAAGTGGGTGATCCACATTTCCAATATGTTCTCTCATTTACTACCGTTGCCTTCTCAGAGTCCTGAGGGCAGCCAGTTGTTCTTCTGTAGCTTTCTTCTGCTGTGTTCTCTGGCTGGTGTTTTAGTTTGTGGTTTTATTACGAGGAGATTACTGACCATTATACTTCAGTTTTGACATTGTTCAGGAAAGGCTGCGGTTGTATTTATATTGAAGTGGCGTATGTGTATGGGTTTGTGGGGTGAAGAATGCAAGTGGGGTAAAGAAAGAAGATGAAGAGAAAGATACAGAAATGGGGGTCTATTGGTTTGCTTGGACAGATTTCAGACTGGAAAATACAGCCTGAGAGGCAAGGTAGGGTTTTATTTAAAATCCCTGTAAGTACTTCTAGGTAGCTGTATGAAACTGACACCAAAAATTCTGAGACTACCCTTTAAATTTCAAATCACAAAGCAAAGCAATGAGCTTTCTTTTTCTTATTTTCCTTTAAAATAACCATTTCAAGATTCTTCCTTTAAAGCACAATGTAATGTGCTACATAGGTGTGTGCTACAGCATATCACTACAGACAAAATGAAGGACAAGGGACAGAATTATCTTTCTCCAGGGACTGTCAAATTCTCCAGTGAAACTGCTCGTAACAGGTAACAAAGGTGAGTGACATCTGGACTGGAGAACAACTAAAGATTATTTGCAGATAAAATAAAGACTATAATGGTGGCTAGGGGCAATGCAAAGGACAACCAGTGCAATTTCAGATGCTAACTGTCCCCACAAAAAGATGGAGAAAGAGGAATTGAGGAGTACCAGGAGAAGGCCAACAACTCAGAAACCGGCACACTATATTTTTCAAGGATTTACATTTAAAAAAAAAAAGTACACGATGCCAGTTGTGAGGTTAGTCATATATCAATGGAATATGCTCTGAACTACTATGCAAATCATATTGCAAGAGTGATTAGGGCCTAATTTACGAGCAGGCTTGTGTCATGCAGAACTTGTGGGAAATAAGAGGATACGCTTCATTTTCAGGTACACAAAGCGTTCTGCATCTGACTGCCACTGAATATAGCTGGTCTAATGAGACTCCCTGAGGCTGACATCTCCTTTCTTTCCCCGAAGGGCACATATCTCCTGGGCTTCTAGGTGAAAGAGTTTACAGAGAAACCCATATAACCACAGAATCCTTCCTCCCACGCCGTGTTCTCCTGAGTCTTTGAATTACAGCACTGGGTTGCTGACTATGATGCATGTCACACAGCTGAGTCATTAAATGCTACAAGTAAATAGTCCACCTTGGGAATTAAATGACTTACCTTTGGGCAATTCCAGTAATCCACAACATAATTTACATGCAGAGTCATTTACAGGAACTAATGCACAAGGAACATTGTAATGGAGACTCTTTCTTTCCCGTCACTCCCATATTCTTTCTGTGTGCGTCTGTGTTCAGTTACCTCTCAGCATTCTACACTAGAGGGACCGCTGATGAGGATGACCAACGTCGAAGCAGAAAGTCTTAAACTAATACAATGGCTGAGATGGGGTAGCTTTTTCTTGCTTCTTAATTCAGTTTGACTGAGATTAAAACTATTATTAATCTCCATTTCCCAACACACACGCACAGGTAAGAAGGGAAATGTAGCTAAATAATTTAAAGTAACTTCAGATTATCTGCCCTCTGATTATCAATGGTGCACTCTTCTTTCTAAGAACAACGAGGGAAAAAAAACCCAACAACTAAGTTTTTAGCTGCACTTCTGGGAAGCATACATGAAGGCTGACTTATCCTATATGCACTAAAATAAAGCAGATGTGTGTTAACTATTCAGTTCCAAATATCCTAAATATTCCTATGAAATACTTAACTGCTTTTTCTTCCAATTGAGCTTCACTCTGATTTCTCACTGCAGTCTGACTAGCATCTTCCCAAGGTGGAAGTTTAAACAGTAGCTTCGGCTGTTTGAGAGAGATGTGAGTTATGAAAAAGACTTGGAAAGCTCTATCATCTTAAAGTAATTGAACATGTTATAAATAATAATAGCTATAAAAATAGCACTAATTTGACTATAATAATTTCAAACAAACTTCTAAATTTCTGCCTTTAGAGAAAATGATATGATGTAGTACTTTTAAAACGGTCCCCCAAATAATTCTTACCCAAATTAAAGTCACAAATTTTAGCGAAATTATTACTTTAAATTTAAAACATTTTACTTCTCAGGACTGTAAAGAGTAGTGATTTAGCTCAAAGCATCTTCAACTATATAGGTTTCAAAATCATCCCTGGAAGTAAGTGATCCTAAATTCCAAAGTCTATGAAATGAAGGAGTAAACTGGATGAGAGTTTGTTAACCGCTCCGCCTGGACAGTTTTCACTGGTAATGACAGCTACTCTCAGCACTCACAACCTTACCTGTGGATAATGGAATGCTGATACAGTGTGGTTGCAGGAGATCAGAAAAGTCTGATTACTCACAATTATAATTCCTTTCCTTTTACCAAATTATTTCAAATTCTACCAACAGAAATTTATTATTTGAGGAAAAACTCAAAAAATTATTCTTATTAGACTCTCCCTATGCCAGTTAACTGTTAAACTAGTTCATTCTAAAGCAGGTAAGCAAAGTCCAGGCAGGCACCTGTTGTTATAGGCCCATTATCTGAAAGTGGTCTTTACATGTTTATTTGGTTGAAAACCATCAAAGCAATAATAATATTGCATAACATAAAATTACCTAGACAGGTTGGTCAGCTTACATCCCTACGAAGAGGTAACATTTGAGCTGAAACCTAAAAGATGGAAATGAACCAGCCACTGAAAGAACGAAAGGAAAAGTATTACCGAGAGAGGCAGATGCAAAGATCCTGGGACAGGAATGGGTTTCTTTAATTTCAAGAACAAAAGGGACACTGGTATGTGTTATGCCTATTAATGAAAACATCCCTTTATCTGACTTATCTGATTTTTATCAGTACCATAAAAATCAAAACTATTTATTGTAAGTTTAATTGCCAAAATTGCAATTGGGTACTTTTAACATATGTTCTTATTTTTTATTTATTTATTTATTTTTTTGAGACGGAGTCTTGCTCTGTCACTCAGGCTGGAGTGCAGTGGCACGATCTTGGCTCACTGTAACCTCCGATTCCTGGGTTCAAGCGATTCCCCTGCCTCAGCCTCCTGAGTAGCTGGGACTACAGATGCGTGTCACCACGCCTGGCTAATTTTTGGTATTTTAGTAGAGACGAGGTTTTACCATGTTAGCCAGGATGGTCTTGATCTCCTGACCTGGGGATCCACCCGCCTAGCCTCCCAAAGTGCTGGGATTACAGTTGTGAGTCACTGCGCCTGACCCATATGTTCTTACTTCTAATGTTCACAAAAACTTCCAGTAGGAGGATATCATTAATTTCACTCATTTAAAGTCAGGAACATAGACTTCAAACACATTAAGTGTGTTGAAGTTCACGTTGTGATTAAATATGGGGGGTGGGGAGGGTGTGCTGGTCTGTAATCCAGCTCCATCTGACTCAAAACAGTCTATACTAACCTCAAAAACAAATTAAAAATCATGAGAGTGTGTGTGTGTGTGTGTGTGTGTATTTTTCTACTTAACAGCTCAGCAAAATGGAACTAATGGAAATACCACATGCATACAGTGAGGTTTTAAGAGCAAAGAGACAATAAATTCTTTTTTTTTATTAGCATCAGGGCGATTTTGTGGTTTTGCATGGTAGAGGTTAGGGGAATGCACTGGGTAACTGCTCTGGAGCCTCTTCCTTAAAGTATGCCAAAACAGACTTCCAGAACCTCATTTTTAACAGACATTAGGTAACAGTGTAATAAAACATACTGTATCAATACAATTTAATGTCCAAATAAAAAAATTATGTGTATACATTTTTATATTTATTTCACTATATAATAAAGGGGATATTATATTGTTGCCATATGCCTTTTCTAAGTAAGTTGCAACTCCTTACTTACTCTGGGTCTGACATCAGGGCAGCTGAAGCACATGCAGTCAATACCACTGGGAAAACAGCACAAGAAAGGACTGAGGAAAGCGAAGACCTAAACTTAATTAGCTGTAATATTCTGCAGCTAAATGACACCTATATTGTGCTGGTCCCTTTTTTTTTTGGATCTGGACTGCAGGGGTTGAGATTCACCACTGAGACCATATATGGTGGCCTCTGTGCTTCAATCCCTGTTTCATTCGTGACCGATTTATCAGTTCTTTTCTCACAGTAAAATGAGAACTAGGGATTTCTATTACAACCAGAATGTAGTAAAGGCATGGAATCTCTTCTAGGTACTATTTTCTATTTTACTTTATGGGCAAATACAGAAATATTGCTAACAGGCATTACATGTTATTTATTAACATGCTAATAAGACTTCACACATTTAAAAGTAAACATTAAACTTCTAACAAATTAAATCTAGAAGAGTCCGTGTAATGCAGAGACTCTAGAAAAGGAATGTACTTTAGAATCAATTTTTAAAAAGTAAAATAATCAACTGATTATAATAAAAGTAAAAAGTATAAGAGGAGATGCTTATTAGTCATTTTTCCAGCTCATTTTAGTTTTATCACTTTTTGCACAATTTAAAATTTATGGAAACATTCTAATGTTGCCTTTAATTTTTGCCAGAATATTTTGAACTTGGTTGAAAACTGAAATTGAAGAAGAAGGAAAAAAAAAATGGAAGAAATTGAAAGAAAAAGAGGCCAGGATCTTAAACAATCAGAACAAAAAAAAAAAAAAGAAAGGTGAAGAGATTCTGTTTTTCATTGCTCTTGAGTTAAGTATAGTAGAACAGAAGTCAAGCAAGTTCAAAAACAAGTACTAGTTCTCTCACTTACTGGCTGAGGAAGCTATGAGTCTCGGCGACATTATCCATAAAATTAGAATAGTAGTTATGGACCTTGGAAGATTGTTGTGAGTAATAATTTACATAAATTTAGCAGCTTTACCACAGTGTATGACACAAAGAATTGCTTGGTTTCATGTGTGACTTTTTCCCTCTCCTTTGACACACAGACCATCACTCTTTGGGCTGATTTAGCACAATCCTGACGGGAGTTAGCAAATGCTAAATAAGTATTTGTTAGTAGACTGAAGCATAAAATAAGTGAGTTTTCAAGATCCCAGACTGGGGAAATCCTCTGCAGTGTTTCTGTCTATTCTGGAAAATCAGCTAGAGATTAGGCAAGGAGATGGCCTTAGAAGTGAGAACTATAGTGTCTTTTAATCATATATTATTAGTACTTAGGATCTCAGAGATTTGTTTCATGAGTCAATGGAAATGTGTTTCAACCAGAAAGGTATTATTGCTGAGCATTTATTTCCAAATCTGTTGCACGCTGTAGTCATTACTTAGAATATTGCTTTTCACAATTGTCATTGTTATCCAGAGATAGACGATAAAATGGATTAACATGGATTTTTGCCCAAAGTTTGAGGTCTGTCTAGGGATGTGCTGTGACAGGTATAAGCAATGTACTGTAAAATATTATGGGGAATGATCTTGAAGTGATCACTTATGCTCTGCAACACAAATGAGATTGCCGCAAATTACAGGGTGCCCACTGACTCAAGACTGGCAAAAACTCCCAGATAAACTTAAGACTGATACATCATACTGTGTTGAGATTTGGAAAAAAACCAAGAAAACATACGTTGCTATCTACATAAGCCCCAATGTCCACGAAGCCCAGAGCTCAGACTCTTGACAGCTGAACCAAGGTATGTTTTCTGGAAGCATTGCTTTTCCCAAAGTCAGCTGTAAAGGGGATAGTGTATGAAGATGCGTCAAATCATCTTCCCCCGGTGGGAGGAATTTACCAATTCTGTAAAACACACCTAGGTCACTTTGTTTGTTTGTTTATTTGTTTGTTTTGCTCTGTCGGCCAGGCTGGAATGCAATGGCGCGATCTCGGCTCACTGCAACCTCCGCCTCTCAGGTTCAAGCGATTCTCCTGGCTCAGCCTCCCGAGTAGCTCAGATTACAGGTATGGGCTACCACGCCTTTTTTTTTTTTTTTTTTTAAGTAGAGATGGGGTTTCACCATGTTGGTCAGGCTGGTCTCGAACTCCTGACCTCAGGTGATCTACCCACCTAGGCCTCTCAAAGTGCTGGGATTACAGGCATGAGCCACCTCGCCCAGCCTTTTTTACTGCGAACTTTTAAAATCAACTTTCTGTCACAGAGAAATATTTGGGCTTTTGAGCTCAAAGACTATGCTTTGATTTTGCATTTTAACAATGTTTCCAAATGATGTGTGTTTTTTTAGAAGCTTTTTTAGAAGCTTAATTCAAGGAGACTGCTGAGTCCTGGCGACTTGTGCTTTTCATCCCACTGGATAAACACAACCAGGCACGTTTTTATATTTCTTTTATTCTCAAAGGAAAATGACCCAGTCAATCAACTTCGATATATTCAGACACAAGAATACTTCTTTCACAGGGTATTCTATTTTTCAGTTTTATACTGTCATAAATTTGGGGTTAATATTAAGTCGCAAATTTCAGGTAAAACAGAGTGACACAGTTTAATGATCACTAAAATTTCCGTGGAATCCATTTTCCTGAGAGTGGGTCCCTGCTCTCATGAGGCTTCTTGACCCAGTAAATTGAAGGGTGTAAATCTAATTGGCTGAGACCCTGTTTGACTCCAAGGCAGACTGCTAATGTGTTCTTTCTGGTGGAACTTTGTACCAAATTGAAGGTTTGGTAAGTCTGTTCACCTTTGGAGAAAATAGAGATGTAAATGAGCTGTTAAGTCGCCTCTGCCTGAAAGTGGCAACGGGTGGCCCAACCTTCCATCCTCACAACACTGTATCTTGTTTTGTTTATGCCATTGCTTAGAACAATTATTTTTAAATCACATTTCAGAAGAAGACATAGAGAAATGTAGTTATTTGCCTCGGCTTTGAGGAATGCACCTTC